TTTACAGAAGAATTCAATCAGATCATACAGTCAGATTCATAAAATGTTTTCTATCATGTAATGTTTGGCTGATAACACTGATAATAAAGAATAAATTATATGACATGAAACTAGTCCAACTAAGTAATGAATTCAACAAAGCATGTTACAGAAGCCTAAGGACTAGAACCACCAGGCACGTGAACAACTTCTTCCCCACAGCTGTCACGCACCTGAACACCTCCTGACACCAAATATAACGAATCCCCACCCCCCATCCTAACCCCCAAAAAGAAACACACACAACAACATATGGACTGTCCTCACACACGCGTACACGGATCCAACACCACTTACACCACATGCTTCTCAACCATAGCTGTATATTATGTGCAAATCTTTTACCTGCTAATATCTGCCATTATTTACCATGTATTATAACCCCAATAATATATATAAATAAAATTCATAACCCAACTCCCCCATATAATCTGTAGATAGTTTTTCATATTTTTTTTTATTTTGTAGCCTATTATAATAACTCTGTTAATATACACCATTTATAGTCGATGCATACATAGTCTCTGTGCACATGTAAATAAATATTTATATCTTGTATAGCACATCTGGACAGATGCAAACTACATTTTGTTGCTTTGTACTTGTGACATCGTAATGACAGCAAAGTAAATTGATTTGAGCCACTTATCTGTGACTCTGAAAGCCAACTCTTGGCACAAGTCAAATTTGTTTTTCCATCACTCAGAGACTTTTGGCTCAGAAGTCTGAATGGAAACAGATAACAGTGGGAGGTGTCCTGCTATGCAAAGCTCAGACCTACAGTTCAATATAAACCACGGCTGCAGATGAAGTTCTCTGATCAACAAAAAACTCAGTAACCATGAGGTCTCTGATGTTTGTTCTGCTCATTGGAGCTGCTTGTAAGCTTGTTTTTCTCTCTACATCACAGCAGCTATTGGAATGAGTTTTGGAATTCTTGCTTCATCCTTTATGTAATTTTGTGTGTCTTTGTTAGTTGCCTTGGAGGACGACAAGATCGTCGGAGGGTATGAGTGCACTCCCCACTCTCAGCCCCATCAGGTGTCTCTGAACTCAGGCTACCACTTCTGCGGTGGCTCCCTGGTCAACGAGAACTGGGTTGTGTCCGCTGCTCACTGCTACAAGTCGTAAGTCAATAGAGGCTGCTCGTGCCCTCATGACGAAGGGTCTGAATTGATCAAATTTGCCTTCTTTACTGTGTTGGTCACCATGTTCTGTCTTTAAACTCTTTCCAGCCGTGTTGAAGTGCGTCTGGGAGAGCACCACATCGTTTACAGCGAGGGAACTGAGCAGTTCATCCAGTCCTCCAAAGTCATTCGCCATCCCAACTATGACAGCTGGAACATCGATAACGACATCATGCTGATCAAGCTCAAAAGCCCTGCCACCCTTAACCAGTATGTGCAGCCTGTGGCTCTCCCCAGTAGCTGCGCTCCTGCTGGCACCATGTGTAAAGTCTCTGGCTGGGGCGACACCATGAGCTACGGTGAGTACAATCTAAGATACAGACACTCTGATTTCAAGAATGGTTTATGGTCTTTAGAGATTAATATGATCCTCTGTTTTACACCATGCAGTTGATGATGGTGACAAGCTGCAGTGCTTGGACATCCCCATCCTGTCTGACAGGGACTGTGATAACTCCTACCCTGGAATGATCACTGATGCCATGTTCTGTGCTGGATATCTGGAAGGAGGCAAGGACTCCTGCCAGGTATGGACCAACTCAAATCAACACAAGTCTCAGACAAGAATCCCCTGCTGCTTTTCCATTGATGCTGAAAATATAGGCCTAGTATCTTTCCAGTTATTTGACAACTTATTGAAGTCTTGATCTTGTTGTCAGGGTGATTCTGGTGGCCCTGTTGTGTGCAACGGCGAGCTCCAGGGTGTTGTTTCCTGGGGCTATGGATGTGCTGAGAAAAACCATCCCGGTGTTTACACCAAGGTAAAACAAAATCAAATAGCAAAGCTACATATAAACAACATGTGAAGCTCAATTTATTTATTTCTCCCTTATGTAGGATTCTTGGACTAACATATGTTTCACTGTCTGTATTTTCAGGTTTGCCTCTTCAACACTTGGTTGCAGAACACCATGGCCAGCAATTAATATGGATCCTTCTATAGCCATCTAACACTGCTGCTTTCCCGCTGTCACAATTATATGGTAAATATTGGAGAGCATCAATGGGCAGGCAGTCTTATGCAAATCAATAAAAATTTTAAATATTGAACTCCCTTCGCTTAGTCCTGTGTTTTGTTTGGTTAGATTCATACATACTCCACAAGAATAAAGAAATCTGTTCAGGATTCAAGAATAAGAACAAAGGTCTTGCTGAATAACATTATTCCTTCAAAAGAACTAAAAGGTGGAACCTCTATAGGAAGGTTTCATAGATCATTTCCAGTGCATTTACAAAGAAAGAACACTTTGATAAACCCAAAGAGAAACCAAATTGTTTAACTTATATCTTGAGGGGTTCTTCAAGAAATAGCTTTAGATTTTGTTGATTCTGTAGGATGAAAAGATCTTCTGTACCTGACTGTCTTATAGTTGGTCTGACTGCTAAAAATACTTTTGTCTTTGTCCATAGTGCTCCTTATTTTATTAGGAGTAAAAAATCTTTTTGTCTAATGTTGTCTTTTCATAGCCAGGGTCCAGCAAACCCCTGCACTGGCATGCCTGCGTCTAGGCTCCAGAGTATGTGGGGAAAAAAGGCTCCTCTCCTCCTCCGGGTTACAGACCGAGACAGAGTTTGATGTTACTAACAGCAGTTTTTCTCCTCATACTGGTGATGCTGTTGTTCATGTCACAGTCCTAGAGGTCTTAAACCAGGATGCTAAAGCAGACCAGCTAAGTTTTCCAACAAGGGTTTCATGCAGTGCGAAAGATTGCGAGCGCTCCCTGTACTTGTTAACAAATTTTTTTTTGTGAGTTTCACTTCTGCTACCTATGCATGCAATAAGTAATTATTTTGCTTTGGGGCTCTTATACACTTGTAGCAGTGGTGGCAGTAAAAGTAGCCAGCACTGCGTATATCGCTGACCTAAAGTCTTAACTGTCAGAAAGAAAAATGATCAAGACTTCACTGGTTTGAATCATACTGAGGTTTGAAGCATATTGAAAGCCTCTTACTTTCAAGAAATCACAAAAAAGGCATTAGCCTGGGTAAAGCAAAAAAATCTCTCCAGACCTCTGCAACATTAGTTTGCAAAACCCAGTGATAGAACTGAGTGAGGGTTGCTAAGGTCAAGGCAAAGCTTTTTTGTTACTACTTGTTTGTTTGTTTTTTCTTCTTTGTTTAACATTAAGAATTTGCTGTTACATATCCAAATAGCTTAGTAAAACATCATAGCAGTAGTTAATTGTTGTGGACAGAACACACTACGGTACATTTAACTTACAGTGTACATAAATGAATGAAGATGTATGATGAAGTTCTTTAAAAGACTGAATTGGGAGATGTTTTCAGCACCGATTACTTTAACATTCACCACCATTTATTTTCTGAGAGGGAAATAAAGCTTAAAGAAGAACTATTATTGTGTTTCTTTTATTTGTTATTTCCAAGTGTGCGTTCCTAACGTTGCTCCAGACACCTAGTGTCCATAATGTGTAAATATTCTTATCATAAGTATATTAACTGAGAGAAGTGTTAATGTTATGCTTCCTGTTATGTGCTACACTATGTTTTTACAAGGGTAGAAAGAACTCCTCTGTTTTTTAGAGTTTGCTTTTGAAACTTGATACACATTTCTTGGAAAGGTATCCTAAAGCGTTACACAGGATGTCTTTCTTCTTCAGAACACTTACATGAGGTATCAGTACTTGTACTGCAGGAAGCTGTTCCTAGAAGCAGGATTTGTAGAGAATATTCATCCTGGTGTTCCTGCAGAGATACAAAAAAGCAACAGTTCTATCTTCCCATAATCACACGCAAAGTACTCTTAAAAATGGATAGACAAAAACATTTGTGCAGTAGTTCCCTTAATATGATCAAATGATCATATGGTTGCAGCACCATGAACACACACACATAGATATATATAGGATACATTTTTAAATATAAACCTTGGATTTAGATACAAATATAGAATATTGAAATAAATGTAGCATTTATTGCTTACAACTACATGTTCAAAAACGCCAAATGCAAAGGAAATGCACTAAATAACATAAATAAGATCATGTAAATAGTTTTCAATATTTTCATCTAGTGCTATGATGCAGTAAGCTAGATAATCGATGCTGATCTGAGCAAAAATACAGCATAATAAGAGACACTGCCTGGAATACTCAATCAAGACTAATGAAAACCAAATTCATTTTGTACACACAGAGGGTATACCAAACAAAATTTGCAATGGTAATTATGCATATAAATCTGTAAATCTGTATACATCTTTATGACAGTGAATTTTTTTTTAGTAGCAGCTTAGCAGTGAAAAAGAACAATAAAGTGTAGCAGTGATCAAAATGTAAAAAGTGTGGGCGCACATGGTGCAAAAAGGCATTGATGAGGTAGGTTCAGAGCAGTTAAAAAATAAATAAATAGATATGGTGCAAAATGCAGTTAATACTGTATTGTATGTATATATATATATATATATATATATATATATATATATATATATATATATATATATATATATATATATATATATATATATATATATATATATATATATATATATATATATATATATATATATATATATATATTTGTTGAATTTCTTTTAAGTTTGTCAGAAACATAATCATAATACCTTGAATTTAATAGTTTTTTGTTTGTTTTTTTAAACATTGTATTTAATAAAAAAATGTTTTAGGGAAAGTAAAGGGGGAATATATAACATAAGCGCATACGTTGTCTTCTTATTCGTTTTAAAAAGGACACCATTCCAATGTCAACACATTAGTCCTCTAAGCGGAACGGTTTCCGAGTTAAATGCTAAGGTCGGGCAATTTATGGTGATGCACAATCAATGTCATAGGAAGGAAAGTTCCGTTTTCCTACATAACAGTTATTAATTGTAATGTCCTCTCTATTCTTTCTCTTCTCGGGAAGAACGTCGCTTGATTTTATATTTTAATCTTCTTTGTTTATATAGATATTTATATATTTGATCGTGGACGCTGTTAGCGCGGTGAAGCAGACAGGACGCGATGCGCCTCGCGCTGCAGATGCTGATCTCCCATGGCCGGGTGGCCCGGAAGATGGGCCTTGGCCCGGAGTCGAGGATTAATATGCTGCGGAACATCTTGACAGGACTTGTTCGACACGAAAGGATAGAAACTACGCAAGCCAGGGCCGATGAAGTCCGATTCTACGCCGAAAAGGTGTGTGTGGATGAGAACCCTAACATTAACCTTTTCAGTACCAGGTTAAAAGTTGGGGTCTGCCATATTCAGGACCAACCTTCGGTCCTCATAAGGCCTGTTGGTCCCACTGATCTCTGTTTATTCCCTGGATTTCTGATGGAGCGAAAAAAACTGAAGTCACCTGCCGCCATCTTGGTACTCCATAAAGATACCTGAAATGTATGTTTTTACCATAACAATGTAATCAGTACATGTATATTACATGTATCATCAATTTAGCACTTTTGGCATCAGATTTGCATGTGTAATATTCTTAATGTCTGACCACAGCATTATTATGCTTTATTAACACACTAATTTTGTTGTGATAGATTTGTATGTTATATGACATGCAATGTGATGTGCCTATATATATTTTTATTTATTTATTTATTTATTAACCATAAATTACAGTAATCTACAGATGCCATGAAACAGCAAGTGTGAGTCAAAGTGATGACTTTATCCTTGTTTTAACAGTGAATAAATGGAGATCAGTGGTTGGTCCTCAGAAGGTAGTAAATGTACCAAAAACGTTCTTAAATAATCTCATGCGTTCCTCCTCATGTTGATACAGTCTTCTTTCACACAGTTAAGTGGATGTTTGCAGACAAATTGCCGTTATAAGCGGCTATCAGTTCCAGAGAATGGCTTCAGATTGTACCAGTATGTTCATTAGATTGTTATTATGGAGTGAATCCTAATCCTAACCCTAAAGTAATTCCTTTTCCCCCGCGGAATTAATTAATCTGTTTACGTGTAATCGGAAAACAATTTCAGTTCTTCTTCATATACTGTAAATATAACTAAATAAAAATTAAATTATCCGCATCTCGCTCATATTTAACAAACCGAAGACACATACAACTCATATCCTGTCACTGAGTTGTAGAATCCTCTCCCTATAAATATTTATTTCTCTGTGAAAAAGTTCTGATCATTCTTTAATAAAATCTTCATCAAACGGACAAGCAATGCTTGTTTTTAAAACCTAATGTGTGTAACGGACCTTGTGACTAATTTATATATATATATATATTTAATGAACAAAACTACAACAAAAATCGGACTAAATCAGGAAATAAAACAGCATGATTGGCTGTAATGAGAGCGGAGAGAGAGAAGACACGGATTTACTTAAGAAAACCTGCTACCGACCAGGTTAGCTCAGGGGATAATGTTACTATGGTAACTGAAACAGAAGTTGAATAAGCTCTCTTTGTGAACTGGAAAAGTCAGAGTATGTTTTGACGTTTAGACAACTTAGAGTTTTCGGTAAACCTGCTTCATGAAACAGACCCCTGGACTGCAGTGCTGAATCTGGATGGTCCTCAGCCTTGCTTTCCTAGAAGGGATTTTCGTTCCATTTTTACGGAAGAGGATTAGGAAAAAAAAACATGTTTACTGATTTTTAAATTTTATTTCAGTTTAGATTGGAAAAAAAGTCAGAATTCTGACTTTTTTTTCAGAATTCCGACTTTAATCTCAGAATTCTGACTTTAATCTCAGAATTCAGACTTTTTTTCTCAGAATTCTGATTTTAATCTCAAAATTCTGACTTTAATCTCAGAATTCTGACTTTTTTCTCAGAATTCTGACTTTTTTATTGTCAGAATTCAGTCAGAATTCTGACTTTCTTCCCATACTAAACTGAAATAAAATTTTAAAATCAGTTAAATTTTTTTTTCTCAGTGGCCCTAATCCTCTTCCGTACATTTTCGCTCACACAAAGAACATGTTTTGTTAATGAAGAAAAATAAGGGGGGGGGACGATGGGATCTGTAAAACCCAATTTCACTGGAATGCAATTTATAAAACTCAATCTGGAAAAAAAAACAGGAATTTCAAAATATAAAATTTGTTTCAGAACTTAAAAACTAAATTAAAAATTTAGATAAAAAATTAACTATGAAAGTTATCTTTTTTCATTATGATTTTTTTTATTTTTTATTTTTTTTATTTTTTATTTATTTTTTTTATTTAGTTTTTTTTTTCCCCCAAATGTATTGGTTTAACATTTTAATTTATAAAGGGTATTATTCGCTTACAAATAATGGAATATATAATTGATTTGTGAAAAAAATCTATTTTGTTTGAACTGAGAATTGTATAACTAACACCAAGGTGTCATTTTTATTAATTAAATAAAGGTAGAAAATGTGATATTGGCTCCAAGATTCGGCCCAAAAATATCCCCAGCACGTTTTAGGGATCAGTTAGACTGTCCAAATAATCGGTATTGACATCAGCCATAGAAGATGTGTATCGGTCAATCGCTATTAAAAACTGTTACGAGTCTTTTTATTTGATAGATGTAAATGTCTGGTTTTAAGGATTTGTAGGTAAAGCTGGTGAATTAAGATTACCGGTATATAAAGTTTCAAAATAAACTTCCTTACCATGTTTTGTCACAAACAAAAAACACTAACTTTATGACAGAGTGGAATTTAGTCCAATAGAAAAACATAAACAACATAAAATGCCCCTAAGGTCTTTTCTGGATTTTTACTTGGTATATTTTTTGCACAACACTTAAAGTCTCAAACTTCTTGCTGGTAAATGCAAATAAAGAGTCAATCTGTGTTGGTCTGATGCTCATCACATCAAGGATCCCTAGCAGATATTTACTTGCTGAGGATGGTTTCCTTCTCTCTAAGTTTTTATGCAATCCCTTTAACATTTTTCAGTCCAAAAATCAAAGTCGACCCAGAAGGTGGAGCTCCTGCACAGGCCTAAACTCTCCAAACTGCTGTTATGCTCTGAGGATATTTAAACATGCATCCTGTTAGCAGAAACTATTCTCCCTCTTGACCCAAATGTCCCTCTAATCCAAAGGTTTATATCAACATACAGACGAAGCATTCAGTTCTGAACCTGACAACTAATAGTAGCAGCATTATGAATATTTTAAAGTATCTAAAAAGAAAGTTTTTTTTTTTTTTATCATATACTTGTTCAGATGCATTATTATTTTTACTGATGAAGCATGGAGAACTAAACGTTCCACTTGAGTCATTAAATAAATAATTTTATCCATGCTTATTGTAATTTGTTCATTTCTTAGACACTGAATATGGTTAACTTGTAACTTTAATTCTTTGCTCTTTTTCTGCCCCTCCCACAAACGTAAGATGGAAAATAATAAGTGGTATGCTGAAACACAGAACTATGAATGATTTACTGAAACAAAGATATATGCTTAAACATATGACTACAGTATCAAATAGGTTGTTTCCATAATTTATTGAATAAATGAACATTTTAAACCATCCCAGAAAATGTATTAATGTCATGTCTGCTCTTTTAACTGCAATAAATTAATAAGAAATTATATAGCAGAAATCTTGACAGAATTGGTAATGGTGTTTTTAGTTTCTCTCTGAATAGTTAAGTAATTTAACCAGTCATTACAGTCATGATCATTAACTAACACACACTTCCAACTTCTAGCTTCTAGTAGTCTTACCGATTTAATGGGTTTGTTGACCCTCATGTAAAACTTCCCTTATTTTTTATAGGTATATATATGTAATCATGAAGCACAATGTGAACCAACTGACTAAAGGTGTTTCTGACTGGAGATGTTTTTTGTTTCACCTTCCCAGCTCATTGACTACGCCAAGAAAGGAGACACCGATGAAAAAGCAATGAAAATGGCCAATTTTTGGCTCACGGTATGAGTCTGCAGCTTTTTACATCCATATGCGTTTAAAAACTGTGCAAGATTAATGAAAACCCAGATGATTTTAATGTCTGCCTCCTGATTCCTCTGTTTAGGAGAAGGACCTTGTTCCAAAGCTCTTTAAAGTCTTCGCTCCGCGTTATGAAAACCAGTCGACTGGCTACACACGGATGGCCCGGATCCCTAACAGAGAGAACCTGGACAGAGCCAAGATGGCCGTGTTGGAGTACAAAGGCAACCCTTTTCCACCTCTTTATCCTGTGAGGAAGGAGAATGAACTGACCCTCATCAACCAGCTCCTCAAAGGCTATAGAGAGGAGAGAGCAAGAGTGCTGGCTGCACAGGCTTAACTAATTCTACCAGGTTTTGGTTTTCTCATGCTGCAACTTGATGCATTTCCTCACATGGACAGTTTTTATGTTCTTCTGTGAGCTGAAATCAAGAGATCTGGAAAATAAGTTACTGGTCATGTAATAATAAATGTTAATTCTCTAAAGTTTCCTTTTTTCATGTCTTCAGTATTTTAAAAGTTTAAATTTGTGCAGATTTCCAGCTGTAGGGTCTAAACTAAAATAATTTATTTAGATTTCATTAATGTTTGTTTTATATATATTATGTCACCACTAGGGATGCACGATATTGGGATTTTGGCCGATATCCGATATGCTGATATTTTAAAACCCTTAGCAGATAACCGATATCGATACTGATGTTAAAGTTGGACAAAAATAAGTAGTCATTGAAAATAGCAGTTTTGTTATCCATTTCTGACACTTTGAAAAATAATATACTCAAATATATTTTCATATGCTGATATCAAATAGATTTTTAAAAACGCGGTATCGATCTATTGTACTTTCAAAATCTCGTGAAATTTCATCGTTCTGTTACAAACTCGTGATATTTTGCAAATTCTTGTGAGATTTTGTTAGTAAAATAGATCGATACCGCGTCAATATATCAACATATAAAAAATATGGCAACATTTCGTGAATTTTCGGGGGATTTCGTAGCATAACGATGACATATAGCAATATTTCATTAGTAAAAGAGATTGATATGGTGTTTTTAAATGGCAATATATCAGCATATGAAGATATTGTGATATTTTAATGTATCAATATTTTTTCCCTCGTCTTTAGAAGTTTTTAAGTCTGTAAAAAAGAAGATTTTGAGGAAGAAGAAAGTAGTATTTTTTTTTTTTTTTAGACTTTAGAAACTCAGAAGCTGATCAAATATCGGGTTAAATATCGGAGGGCTGGCCGATGTCCGATATTCAGTTTTAAGGCCGATACAGGCCGATACCGATAGGGGGCCGATTATATCGTGCATCCCTAGTCACCACCTCTTGTGATGATGAACCAAAGCAGCAGAGGCTTCTTATTCTCCACCAATACTTCTATCAGAAAATGAAAATGGAAAGAATAGTTTCCTCATAATTGAATCCAAGTGGCGTTATTGTTTATTATGACATATAATGAGCTCGCAGGTCTCTTGTGCATCGCAAACTGAATAATAGGCAAGGTTAGATAAAGGTGAAGCATTAGCAAAAAACCCAAATCCATATAAAAATATGGCACCATTCAATAACTGTTTTCCAAAGAGCAGAAAATAATTTACAAAAATGCAACAAAGACTTAAATGTTAAGCATTAATTTTACATTTTGTATAAAGTTTCTTTAACTCTTTACGGGTTACAACAATGTAAATTTTTTTTTAAGTTTCCTCCTTAAATCTTAACTATAACTGAAAGCAAATGTCTAACTTATACTGTATCGGTGAACACACAGTTGTGTACAGCTCATTTCTCTCAAATTTTAATCACAATAAAGTGAAGAGGATTGTATATCTATGGAAGAGTCGAAAACTTTTAAGAGCAGTTTCACTGTGCTGGGCTTTTTACTTCTACCTGAGTAATAATCTTTTAAATGAACGCTACTCTTACTAGAGTAGAGTTTCTGGTTACTCAACTAAGGGTTATGTGGCGGCTACCCGCCCACCAGGAGTGGCTGGTGTTTTTTTGTGATCACGTGAACAGACATTTTCATTGGATGTTCTGCATCAACTCCTAAGATATACACATTAACTACTATAAAGATCAGTTTTAAAAGTTAAAGTTAAGTAAAATAATGTGGAAAAGCGCTTCTTCCTCCTAAATGTGTTATTTTGTAATAATTCTATATTTCAGTTTCTTTAATTTATAATTAGAAATACCAATAATTGCTCATAATTAACTGAGCCAACAGTTAACTGTACTTGAGGAGCCATTTAACCAAGTACTTTTTTACAATTTCTTGAGAAAATTCTTGAATGACTGCTTTCTACTTTTACTTGAGTTTATGTTGGTTTTCCTCACTTTATAGTCCATGAAATTTATTTTCATAATAACTTTGCAGTTCAAATGATACCAGCACTGCATAAGAATTGTGCAGGTGGCACTTTTGAGGAATGATAGCTAGAAAACAATAATAAACAAAATAACATTTGTTACATAGAATAGGGGTGTCTATCTTTAAAAACAACTTAAGTGAGAGTTAAAGTGATGTCACACTAATTGGGCCTTTATTTTAAGGCCTTTTATAGTTTAGTTCTTTTCCTCTCCGTCAGTGTGAGTTGTTACCACTTTGTTAACACGTGAGGATGAGGATCTTCTGAAGAGGGATCTTCAGATGAGAGTTCGGTTCAGTTCTGGGTACAGGCTCGCCATCCCCTTCCGGAGAACATCAGGTATCCAGGAATCCGATTCGCAGCTTTCTTAACCATCAGGAAAAAACCTAGCCAAGTTGAGGTTTCAGCACGAGCACCGCAAGGGACCTAGTCACACAGCCTCTCTAGCTCGTATTCCTTTCCACTTAACACAATTAACATCTCCAATTAGTATTTGAACAGAGCTAACATTTGTTTACAACCATTATCTTGCAGAAAACTCACCAAGAAGAGGTTTCAGCAAGAGCACCGCAAGAGACCTAGTCTCACAGACTCTCTAGCTCGTGTTCAAGAGTGCAAAAAGACCGCAACGTGTTCGTGAAAACAGGAAGTAAAGCGACGGAGTGAAAATTACATTTCCTCCTTTCAAAATAAACGTTTTTTCAAATTAAAACTAAATTATTTTACAAATAGTAGGAAGAGAAAAGTCGTTTTCTCTACTTGGTTACACCCTCCCCCATTAAATATCATGCACGTCTCGTTGCATGTGCATCCAATACAGTTCATCCTTTTTGGTAAGAGACTCTGAGAAGGCGGTACTCAAACCCTGAAAAAGTGATGTAACCACAGTCACAAGAGGGTTTCCTAAATCGGAATACTCAAGTCTCTTTGAAGGTTGCCTGATTCTTTCTGATCGTCTCACAGGTTGAGTGGTGACGGGATCAATTTGGTCAGTCGCATCAGGTGAATAAGTTGACTGGTTTTCCTGTTCTTCGACTGAATCCTCACAAAATCTTTCTTGAATTGTTACAATCTCATTTTCCACAGGTTCATTTTCAGTCTTGTCATCATCCAGTTTGTTTTCCACAGGTTTATCATTTTCAGTCTTGTCATCATCCAGTTTGTTTTCCACAGGTTTATCATTTTCAGTCTTGTCATCATCCAGTTTGTTTTCCACAGGTTTATCATTTTCAGTCTTGTCATCATCCAGTTTGTTTTCCACAGGTTTATCATTTTCAGTATTTTCATCTTCACACACACTTCCCTCCATTCCAGGTTCCACATTACTATTAGGTTCAAGTACGTCACAATCAGGTAGGTTTGTCATGTCCGGTTGTCGAGCTTTTCCACATTCATGTACAACAGTAAATCTGGCAACTTCTTCAGATGGGGATTCCTCAACCCATTGAATGAAAAACTCATTGTTAGGTTCAGTTAACTCTTCATGATCATTGCTTTCTGTAGCAGTAGTGTGCCGTGTCTTAGGACTGCGAATCTGCACTGGCTCAGGTAAGTTTTCTGTGGACACAGGGAGGAAACTGCATGGAAGCAAAAGGTCTCTATGTAAGGTTCGTGAGGGACCTTGTTTTGACTCAGGTCTAACGGTATAAACGGGTAAGTCACCTGCACGTTTGACCACTACGTGGATGTCTGCCTCCCATTTATCGGCAAGCTTATTCTTACCACGCAGCCGCACGTTTCTTACTAAGACCCTATCCCCAGGTTCAAGTTCAGAAACTGTAATTTTTTTGTCAAACCTGGTCTTGTTTTTGTGTGCCACTTTTTGAGCATTTTGAGAAGCTAACTTATAGCTTTCCTCAATGCGCTTCTTGAGACTTTCTACATACTGTACATGAGTTACTTTCTGGTCCTTGTTGAGAGGAAGTCCGAACGCTAGATCAACTGCCAGTCTAGGTTTTCTCCCAAACATTAACTCGTAAGGGCAAAACCCTGTGACATCATTGCGTGTACAGTTGTACGCTTGCACTAAAGGCATAACATAGTCCTTCCAGTGGGACTTCTGCTTGGATTCCAGCGTTCCCAACATGCTCAGTAGTGTTTGATTAAATCTTTCGGTGGGGTTACCCCGAGGGTGGTAAGGGGTGGTTCTGATTTTCTTTATGCCAGATATTTCGCAGAGGTCTTTTATTAGTTTTACCTCAAACTCAGGACCCTGATCACTGTGCAGACGCTCAGGTATGCCATAGTGGACGATGAATTGGTCCCACAGGCACTTGGCGACAGTTTTTGACTTTTGATCAGGAGTGGGAAATGCCAGGGCAAATTTAGTAAAATGATCAGTCATTACTAGGATGTTGCTAGTATTACTGCTGTCTGGTTCCAAACTGAGAAAGTCCATGCAGACTAGCTCTAAGGGGTGAGTAGTGGCTATGTTGACAAGGCTAGCTGCTTTCTCAGGAGGAGTCTTTCGGCGTATGCAACGGTCACAAGTTTTTACTTTTTGCTCAATGTCTGTTGCCATCCGTGGCCAGTAAAAACGTGTTCGGACCAGGTCAAGGGTTCTGTCTATACCTAAGTGGCCCATATCATCATGCAAACTTTGAAGCACGGGGGCTCTGAGCTCCTCTGGAAGAATGAGCTGGTGGGTAATGTGGCCTCCTTCCTGTCTTTTTCTGTACAACACTTTATTGTGAATCTCCAACCGATTAAGTTCCCTAAGCAAAAGAGGAAGTTCTGGGAGTTCCTTTCTAGCAGACGGTGGAGGTCTCTGACCATTTTCCAGTTGTTCAATAACTTTCTGGATTGTTTAGTCTGCTCTTTGTTTCTCCCTCAATTCTGACTGGGACAAAGCAGGAATAGTTGGCAAGCTGTTGTGTTCCTCTGAAACATAGATGTCTGGAATTGCATCAGCCGAGACGGTAAGTGACTCTACAAGTGTAATACCACTATCCTGACTCTCATCTCTGACTTTCACTATTTGTGACTGACAAATCGCTTGGACAACATTGCTGTCTATATGCTCTGTGGTGTTAACGTCAGCCAAGTGACTCTCCACAAACCGGCTCACGCGCTCCTGCTCTTTTCTGGACTGGGCATCATTCACAAGTTCACCATGGGGACGTCTAGACAACCCATCAGCGTCTAGGTTTTGTTTGCCCGCTCTGTACTGTAACTTAAAGTTGTAGTTAGACAAAGCCGCAAGCCACCTGTAACTCGTGGCATCTAATTTAGCAGAAGTCAATATGTATGTGAGCGGGTTACTATCTGTAACTACCGTGAACTGCCCACCATACAAATAGCCATGAAACTTTTCACTCGCTGACCATTTGAGTGCTAAAAACTCCAATTTGTGAGCTGGATAGCGTGCTTCAGCTCTCGATAGCCCACGACTGGCAAAAGCTATTGCCCTGAGCTGACCCTCCTGCTCCTGATACAATGCTGCACCTAAGCCAGTGGTACTGGCATCAGTGTGGAGTACGTAAGGCAGTTTTGGGTCTGCAAAGCCTAAGACAGGTGCTGAAGTTAGCTGTTCGATGATGGAATCAAAGGATTTTTGGCAGTCTGTGGTCCATCGGCTCTCAAAAGGCAGTTTGGGATCGAAGTAGGTTTGGTCGGTTTCTTTATATTTTGACTTTTTTCGGAGTGGCGGGTAACCACGTGTGAGATCATTGAGTGGACGTACAATAGAAGAGTATCCCTTTATGAAGCGTCTGTAGTACCCTGAGAACCCTAAAAAGGATCTCAGTTCTTTCAGGTTTTTTGGTCGTGGCCAGGTCTTTAGGGCCTGAATCTTTTCGGGATCTGTCTCAACACCGTTCTCAGAGATCACATGACCAAGGTACCAGACTGTTGTTTGTAAAAACTTACATTTTTCTGGCGATAACTTCAGGCCATACTCTTTAAGACGGTGGAGCACCCGCATGAGTCGTTGTTCGTGTTCTTCTAAACTGTCCGAAAAGATTATGAGGTCGTCTAGGAAGACTAATACCTCATGCAAGTTCATATCGCCAACACAACGCTCCATCAGCCGCTGGAAAGTGCTTGGGGCGTTGGTTATGCCCTGCGGCATGCGGTTGAACTCCCAAAATCCTAGTGGCGTCACAAAGGCGGTCTTCTCTTTGTCTTCTTCCTCCACCTCAATCTGGTAATACCCAGACTTAAGATTGAGGACTGTAAACCACTTGGATCCTGATAGAGCTGAAAACATCTCTTCTAGATTTGGGAGAGCGTAAGAGTCTTTTCTTGTTTGCAAATTAAGTTTGCGAAAGTCTATGCATAGACGCACACTATTGTTTCGTTTTCTCACCACAACGATAGGTGATGAGTAGGGTGACTGGGACTCTCTTATCACACCAGCAGCAAGCAGCTCTTGAAGGTGTTTACGCACTGCCTCAATATCTTGGGGGTGTATAGGGCGTGCACGGTGTTTGAAAGGAGTCGGATCATCAAGTTTGATAGAATGCTTCACCTTGCTCGTACACCCAAAGTCGAGATCATGAAAAGCGAACACTTCTGGAAGCTCATTGAGTCTCTGTGTTATTCTCTCCTTCCACTCCTGTGGAATAGGTGAATCACCAAAGTTGAAACTCAGTGTCGCCTTGTTTGTGGTAGGCTCGTTTGCACTGGTTACATTGTGCTGGGACAGGATACAATGAAAGGTTCCAAGTTCTGCAATGACACGTGGATGGAATTGTGATATCTTGTTCTGTTTCATTTGAAATCATTACAGGCACTTTGTGTGGAGATCCGAAAGGGAGTGTTACCAAGCATGTTTTAACACAAAGCCCACCTGGTAAGGAAGACTGAGCAGGATGTTCAACCAAGGCAAAGGTGTCTGTGGATGTGCAGTTAACGTTAGCAGAACCCTCTAAAACTACAGTCTGGCCTGCTGGAATAATAGCTGTGGCCTTGTCTGCCAAGGTAACTAATTCAATGTTCCCATCTCGGTTCTGTGTATGTCTTAGTTCAAGAGTTTTCAAAAGCGCTCTAAACCCGTAAGGACTAGGTAAGAACTCAGAGGTCTTGATGCCTAAGTACTTTTCATACAGAACATCAAGTGTATTTGTTCCTACCAACACAGGTGTCTGCGTGTTTGGATGAGCGTCTGGAACAACGAGAGCTAAGGTGTGTATGTCAATCTCAGTATCTAAAAAATCTTTTGGAAAGGTAACACACATCTCTATATAACCTAAATAAGGGACAGGTTGACCTGCTGCACCCTCTACTTCTAAAAGGTCATAGAGCGGGTTTAATTCTTGTTCAGGAAAGTTCTGTTTGTAGAATGACTCTGTCACAGTAGTCACTTGTGACCCAGAGTCAAGAACACAGTTCACATTAATCCCAGAAATGCCAACTACAGCAGTGCACTTAGAGCCAATTAGCCCTTTAGGAAGTCTGTAGCTTTGAGGCTTAGCAACAGACTGCTTAAGGTTAGCTCGTTGCTTGTTCCTAGTGGGACATGTTCGACTGGCTACAGTCCCCATTTGCCCCGCAATAGAGACTGGCTGTAGTTTAACTGTTCAGCAGCTGAGGGGTTCTCAGCTTCCCATTTCTTTTGTTTCTCTTTGAAAAGCTTGCGCTTTTCTGAAACTAAAGCTGCATTTGGTTCGTTCTCACAATTTGGCTTGATGTGGCCATCCTCTCCACATTGAAAGCAGTACCACGGTTTGGGTGGTGTACTTTGAGTTTTGACTGTTTCTTCTGTGGTCACTTTATCCGGCCTTCTTGTCTCTTTTGGCTTTTTACTGGGTGCACCTTTTGAGTTTGGAGCTTTTGGTTTTGCAGTTAGTTTCACTAGTTGACTTTGTAATTCTGCAACTTGTCTTGAAAGTTCTTTAATTGAGCTTAAGGTGGTATCGTCTTCAGTTTCCTTTGAGCCGGATTTCACAGTTTGCAGATGTGAAGTTGCTTTTTGTTTCGTGCTGCCCAAATGTTGTCTCATGCGTATGTTTTTTGCTGCATTTTGATCTTCCTCAGTGCGTAACGAAAAAAGCAAATCAGGGAAAGTTGGGGGATTTGTCCTTTTTTGTTTCAACTGGAGAGCAGTTAAAAGGGAATCATCCCAACAACCTTGACAAAACTGTGTGATAAGAAGTCTGTCAAAATCGCTGCTTAAAGCACCACCACGTTTTACAGTGTGGGTTAAAGTTACTCGAAGACGCTGTAAGTATGATGATGCTTTCTCACCTGTGTTTTGGAAAGTGTCAATGAACTTGGCATAAAGCTCTCCACCATCCTGAACTGTCCCATAAGCAGAATCTAAAAGCTGAAGGTATTCTGAAGGTGAGCTGTTGGTATTCAAGTGCTTGACAACATCAGCTGCAGGAGGTAAGAGAGATTCAATGATCTTTCGTGATTGTTGCAGCTTGGACATGGAAGGATCAGCCATGACCAACTCAACACTGGAGCGCCAAGTATCGTAGTCTGGCTCATAAGCTGGTCGAGGGTCTTTGCAAGAAAACACTCTGAGTTGTCGTGAAAACTGTAGCCCAGGATCTTCTCTTTTCACAATGTGCTCAACGACCACACGCTGCACTTCTGGAGGGTTTAAATCATGTGCAGACATAATGGGCACTGCTTGAGCTTGGTTTAACTGGCTCCATGCATGAGTAATGGCTGGTGTCTCAGGGTTGTAAGAGGAAGACTGAGGGGGGTTCTCAGGCAAGTTTATTGGCTCAGATTGGTCATTTTCGGGTTCAACAATTGACTCAGATATTTGTGACATCATGTCTTTCAGGACGTCGGCAAAATCCCTGCCACTCATCTTGGCTAGGTATTTAATATCAGTGAGATATGTCTTGGTTTTATCATTTCCAATAAACTGTGTGTAAGCGCTAGCAAGAGATTGTATCTTATAGCTAGCTCCACTAGCAGACACATGGGTGCAAGGCAATGGTTCAAGAGCATCAACAGCAGTACCATAGTTGTACTCAACAATAACACTTTGGAAAAGATCAGAGTCACGATCAGTAATTGTTAAAACTCTGGAAACTGACCCATATTGTTTCAAGAATTCAGTCACCTCATTAATCTGTTCATCTCCAGCGATTTCACTCACAATCACCGCATTCGGTACTTTAATCGATTCACGCTCAACAATTTCCATGTTTAGTATATCAAAGGCTGAGATAACTTCAGAGAAAAGAAATAAAGGATCTCCTGGCTGGCTCGCCAAAATTTATTGTAACCCCTGACTAACGTTAAGTAGATTATGGGAATGCAAACATCTGGACCAGTCAATAGGTTCGGCAGGAGTACAATGAAACTGAAGTGAGTGCAGAATGAAATAGCTGGAGACAGGAGATGCGCAACAATAATAATTGTATTGATAAGCAAAATAGAAAAAATATAGAACATTTACAATTTCAATAACAATAAGCCGGCAACAGAAAACAAAACCCCAGTCCCTGAGCTCAGTGTTTGTTTGGTTTTTTTTTTTAGTCAGTCAAGGCCTTTTATAGTTTAGTTCTTTTCCTCTCCGTCAGTGTGAGTTGTTACCACTTTGTTAACACGTGAGGATGAGGATCTTCTGAAGAGGGATCTTCAGATGAGAGTTCGGTTCAGTTCTGGGTACAGGCTCGCCATCCCCTTCCAGAGAACATCAGGTATCCAGGAATCCGATTCGCAGCTTTCTTAACCATCAGAAAAAACCTAGCCAAGTTGAGGTTTCAGCACGAGCACCGCAAGGGACCTAGTCACACAGCCTCTCTAGCTCGTATTCCTTTCCACTTAACACAATTAACATCTCCAATTAGTATTTGAACAGAGCTAACATTTGTTTACAACCATTATCTTGGAGAAAACTCACCAAGAAGAGGTTTCAGCAAGAGCACCGCAAGAGACCTAGTCTCACAGACTCTCTAGCTCGTGTTCAAGAGTGCAAAAAGACCGCAACGTGTTCGTGAAAACAGGAAGTAAAGCGACGGACTGAAAATTACATTTCCTCCTTTCAAAATAAACGTTTTTTCAAATTAAAACGAAATTATTTTACAAATAGTAGGAAGAGAAAAGTCGTTTTCTCTACTTGGTTACACTATGGTTTTTAAATATACTTTAGGACTAATTCATAAGAGTTAAAAAAGGACTTTATCCAAATACATTTACGCCAAGCTCAGTTCTAGCTTCTGACTCAACAGTTTAGTCAGATAAAGCTATTAGCTATGAAACATTTAGGTCTGCCAGCTTCAGATTAGGAACAGACTGGATACCATCCCCAGAGTGTTTGACTTTAATAGACCCTCATAATTAGAACAAATTCCAAACACGACAAACAAATATCAGATTTACTATGTTTGGACTCCTGCCCAGGTTCCTCACTGGAATGCAATAAGACCCCACATTAACACAGGAAGCAAATAAGACACACAAGGCTTTACATAAAACCATACTTTATTACTTATTTTGGCAAAAAGTGTGTATGTACAGCGTCTTTATAATTAATAATTATCTGACACCATTACAATTCATCTGAATGGTGCTTTAGTGATGTGCTTTCGACCAGATCGCTCTGAGTAGCCAAAGAGCTGTGCTGTTCTATGTCATGCTTCAAACTCTCCATAAGACTTTTCCAAATCTAAACGTGAGCTTAAACGATGCAGTGTTACAATATCAGTAAGCCCATCCCTGTCTCTCTTTGTCATGGCAACAGCAAACAACATGGCAGACATGCCAAATACAAACCAGACACATATTCAGAAGCAACAGTTAGTACTCTATTTCAAGTATCAGTCAGTTTCACAAAGTTACACTTCTGGAAACACTCGTACAGGTTACAAACTACAGTCCTAACATCGGTACTCCATGACAACAAGTTTGCCGCTGATTAATCTGTCGGCCCAAAGCTGAGCACCAGCGTATCTCTAATTCAGGATAAAATAATTGATTTAGTTTTGAACATAGAATGAATTATTCCCTAAAATGTCTGAAAAAACATCTCAGTCCATATTTACAGGTAGACATAGCTGGAATAATTCTCCTTCAAGTGTGATTACAGTTTTTGAAGCACTCCTATAAGATGGATCTGCTCAAAACAAAAAACAGACCAAGACGAGGAACATTAAAGTGCTCCATGCAGGACAGACAAAATGTACAGTTATGTTGCTGCTTTCCCAGCTCTTCTACTAAGACTTTTTTTTTTTCTCCATATCAGGAAATACAAAAGCATTTATTTTTGTTCAGCTTCTTGCACGGTTTTAACATTAAGATGTAAAAAGCCAACAAATAAAAGGATCTGTAGTTCAGATACAAGACAGGGGTGAGAATTAAGTTATGTCTTCTTCTCCGAGTCTGTGCTTTTTTTGTAAGCCAGTAATAGAAAACAATGGGGGAAAAAAAGATTGGCTATTTGGTTTTTCTTTTAAATTACAAGATACACAATTGATATACAATCCTCTTTCTGTTGTAAAGAACGAAACAGATGTCCTCTGAAATTATACCCTTTATGCTTCGCCTCCTGACATCCCCATCTACACATAGGTGGTGTTTTAACTAATTTAATGATTCACAACTTAAAGAAAAAAAAAAAAAAAAAAAACAGTTATCTTCGCCCAAGCTTCTATTTTCCATGGTTCTGTAAATTTAGATGTGTTTCAAGCCAGATCTTACATATTGAAAGCAGGAATATGGTCTATTGTATTTAGGATCTTTAAGTATTAGGTAATAAAAACTAACGTCAAAACAAAATTCAAGATTTCCTCGCATCTGTAAAAACAGTGCATTTATATTTATTATTATTTTTAATAAATATATTTAAAAAATGTGTTAGTCATTGCTGGATTTTGACCAATAAAAAAATAAAATAAAAAGCAAATTAGCAAAACTCACAGAAACGCCATGTTTTTTACAATCATGGAAGTGGTAAAGATGGAAGCCTTTAGAGCAAAATAAATCAGATAAAGCTGAAGTGATGCATCAGAGTGACTTAAGCATCACCCCTTACCTTGTGCTGTATTGCATCATTACATTCACCACTGACACAGATACAACCATTTAACACACGGATATTCTGCACTCCAGTGAAACTACTAATTAAAAACAGTACAGTATATTGTTTATATAAGAAATGGACAGATATCTGGTTTTATTATTAGAAAAAAGTCAAATTTTTATAACAGATGGATCATATTTAGTCTAACCACTCCACACAATAAACCAGACAGTGTGGAGTTTTCTTATTAGTAGCCCTAACTTTGCTAAGCACTATGTTTGATATAAGGATATGTGACCAAATAAAAAAACAAAAAAAACAATGGAGCTGTCTGGGATATCATGTAGTTACCAAAATTGACTGTAAGGAAATAAGAAGCAATTACACCGAAAAATGAAAGCAACCTTCCCCATGTGTGACACAGCTGCATGCTAACTTGAACTTTTTTTGGTCAAAAGGATATTTGCAAACAGCAGAACTGTAACTAATATTAGTTAATACTGTTTATTTTAACAAGATGTACTTCCTCCGTGTTAATCTATAGGAAATAATACGTTTCAGCATTAGCTCTTGTGTTTAATCAGAGCTCGGACTGCTGTAAAATTATGCTCAGGATCTGACCCTCTCAAGTTATATAGGGAACGTTATTTTAGGAGCCCGCAGGGAGCATCAAGAACACATCAAATGCTGAAAATATACAATCATCTTAAGCTAATGATCCATACAAATCAATATGAGCCAACTGCATTATAGAGCTATAGCAATATTCCACATAAATCCATATATTATAAAAAATATTACACATATTTCTAAACATAGATCAACAGATAGACAGGGGACTGGCCTGCAATAGTGATCAGCATGTAGGAAACTGAAAACTCATTTTTTTTTTTGTCTCTGGTTGCACAATAACATAATTCAGTAAGTTTGGACACAGGGTATATCAGCTCCTTTTTTATGATTAAAGTTCTCCACAATTTATCAGAACTTCTACATTAAAAATAGAGTATAAAGGCATATTAATTAAAAGTGAATGGGATGAAACGGAAGGAAATGGGGACCTGATATGGTCAAATTACAATCCATACACAACACAAACAGAAACTGTTAAATACTGATGCAAACCATGCTTTAAATTATATAAGTTACTAAAGACTGCTAAACATGTCAACTGATCATTTTGTCTTTGTTTTAAAATAACAGCAAAACCGTCTTTTACAGCATATTTTCTTTTACACGCGGTGACATTGCCTAGCTTCTTTTTGTTGTGTAATCTGGTGTTTAAATGTGGTATTTCTGCTCAAGCTTATATCTCAGAATGTCATACCAGCCCATGCCTACTTCTAATTTTGGGTTACATATTTTTGCAAGACCACTTCAACTAGGTAACAAAGAACAAAGATCTTGCAGACAAAACCCATACTGCAACCTATTGTATGTATTTACAGAAGTGTTGATTTCAATACAAACAATAAGCCAATATTTCTATGGTCACATGGAGCACGTTTACCTGCTTTTCCAACCAGAAATAGAACACAAACATGCATGTTTTAAAAGTACTGAACTGGAGGTGCTCAGAGTAAATGTGACAATTTACAGGTTACACATCAGCATATCGATTCTGATAAACCAGCTTCAATGAAGGCTTATACAGTAAGAATATAAATAAACACAACAGACTCCATATACCATAAATATATCTAAGTTTTATCAAAAATGTCCTAAACATAAAAAATGTTTCTTTTTTAATGACTTTTAAACATATTATGGCATTAGATTTTTCTACTCCAACTGGAATGTCATGTTTAGGGAAAAGAAAAGCATGAATTAATATCCTTTGACATAAAACTGTACAGAATTGTTGCTCTCAACAGTTTTTGCTATTTACAAACTCTACCAGGCACACCATCAAATCCTCATAAATTTTTAAACGAAAGTATTTCAAGAATTTTTTGTTCATTTCCACATTGTGCACAGCTGTCATCCTATTGCTCTGGCTACATCCACTTTGTCATCTTTTTCCCTATGTGCCTTCAACGGGTCAACATCAAATATTTATTGCTTCTTTATTCTTTTACAACCTCAGCATTTGTGTCTTAGGCACCCACCTCTAACTTCTCCATAAAGGTCATTTTTATTTGCAGGTTTAAAGGACCATTAAGGGATTTACTTTTGTGATGACTTCTCATGTCTTCCCCAGCATCTATAATACATCTGTTTTTTGAGATGACCATTTTGACACCGTGATTCCCACCGGATTGTACGTTCTCTCTGTAGCCTTTATTATTTTGCCAGTTTTTGTTTCCTATCCACGTCATGCCTTCGTCCCATAGCTTGCTCCACTGCCACCCTGCATGCTGAAATACTCTGTGAAGGATGGGAGACGAGGGGGCATTGGTGGTGAGCGTGAGGCGGGGCGTGGGGGTATCGGAGGTGGAGGTGGTGGCAATATCATGGTTAAGTCTGCAGCAGTGGTAATGATCTTCTGTTCGCTGTTCCTTGGCACAACAGGCCCTTTACGAGCAACAGTCTCTTCCACAGTCTTCACTGGATCCTGGAATATAAAACAAACAAGTCTCATACGATTGGTTTACTACATATATAATTCTAACCATCCACACAAAAAAAATATACTAGATTGGAAAAATGTCAGCGCAAATAACCTCTGAAAAGTTGAAAACATAACATCTAATCTATCTTTTAGGTTAATAAATTAAGTTTGATATGAAAGATTTGTTTATAAATAGCAGGAAATCTGCATAAGGATCAAAATCATTTTAGTGCATCGGTACCCTTCATGGTAAATGGAACTAAATTTCATGTTAGGTTGGTAGTTGCTATGGGTTTTTTTCTTCAACATTCTGTTGGACAGAACGTCTGTAAATAACAATTTAAAGTCTTTCCATAGACTGGATCTGAGTCCAGACTTTGATTAGAGCATTCTTAATGCATGAATATGGTCAGATTCAGACCCGTCCATAACTGTATGTATACTATGCTTAGATTGGGATCCGGAAGCTTATCCTTCCATTCTCATTTAAGAAGCAGATTAGTTTAGTGCACAGCTTTTAGTTCCCTGCAGACAGATTCTTTCACAGACCAGCTGGATGTACGCACAGATAAAATTACACAAGGGTTCACTATATATTAACTATGGTACTTTAAAGATTAATTGATCTATCACAGTAAATAGGGGTGAAATATAAAGGCACACCACTCACCTTAGATTATTTCATGCAACTTCATAAGTATGTGCAACTTCAAATCCCAATAAAATACATTGAATACATGGTTTTGATGTGACCAAATATTAAAAATGGCAAAGCACTGTATAGAAATGCATGTAGAGAAGCTGAAGTGACAATGCTCTCAGTGCAAGGCAAAAATCTGCATCTTGGTATAAAAAAAACAACTTATAAAAATAAAAAGTAGAAGCATATTTGCCTATCTCAAATAGGTACTTTTTAACTGTCAAGTTACAAGAAGAATATCTTATAAATTTGTGCACATTATCTTGCCTATCTGATCCTAGTTATGTAAGATTTGAACAGAAATGTTTTACAAATTTTCACTTCTAGCACTTACCCTTCAAACTATACAGTTTAAATCAAGGTTGCACTGCTGCTAAAGAAAGTCTAGTCATGTTTAATAGATCAGGTTCATTGTTATTGGTCTGTCAGTGAAGAAGACCTTTGGGTCAAAAAGTGGAAAAATGCAATGAAAAAAGTGTAAAACATAAAAAAAAATCCATTTGTCATTTTTGCAGTCCACCGTAATGCAGCCTGAATGGAGCTTATTTGATAAAAGCCATATAAGGGTTACACAAAGTTAAAGGTTTATAGAACCTTAAATCTCAGGTCTGACTGTTTGACAGTTTGTGGTCACTTCTTCAGACTTAGATGCTATGACATTTCCTTTTTTTTTTTTTTTTTTTTTTTACATAATAAGTCATTAAATTGCATACATCTTTTCTGCTTTATACATGTCCAATGTCCACTTTAATAGATTTGCACCTGTGAAAAAAACCATCAGTTTACAGATTGTTCACCCTTTTCTAGATGAATGATAAAATAATTCATCCCAATAAACCAACAAAAGCAAAGACAAATGCTTTAGTCAAACAGCAGTAGTAAAAATAATTTTTGTATTTTGGCAATAAACACCTCTAGTTTCTCTATCACTTAACGCTTTATGTGGCCGAGCTTAGTTTTAGGCCTTCCAAACATGAAGCTCCACTTGTTATTGGATGAAGCTTTAACCTCTAAGCATCAGTTACTGAAATGACTACATGTCTGGTTTTTCTGCAGATAATTTTTTTTTTAGCTTAACAATGTTTATAACAGCAGTGTTTGATAAACCTTCTCCTACAGAGTTGTTACATTTCATTACTTTCTTAGATACTTTCCAGACTCAAATAACACAATTAGATCTTCTGTAGCAGTTAAAACATTTGATTCCTAAACATTTATCTAGTAAACAAGATCCTATATATTTAGATGCTGGTAAAGGGATTTTTACATAAACTGTATTTATTTTACATTTTGGCTCCTGTAAAGACTAAGAGCTACCTATCTATAAAACATATGCCTTCAAATCTGAATTAGACAATTCTACATCGAGAACGGTTTATACAAAGCATTTGTGATCTATATGTTTTCTGTCTATGATGATCATAAAAAGTAGAAAAAAGTCTGCTACAGTGGTGTGTTTGGCATCTAAACTACAACCAGTTTTAGATTTTAGGTTAAGAGGATCCGGAAGCTACTAAAGAAGTGAGATAGCATTTCAGTTAAGAGCATTTACTGTTTCTGTATATAACAAATATGTTAAAATAATCTGTGTAAAAACCCTTTTTATGTTCAAAAGGGTACATTTTTGGTGTCTACCCATTGGTTAAAAGACAATTTTAATGTTTTTAATAAAACATTCATGCATACAGCAGATTCCCTGATTTGCCCATACTGAAATTTATGTTTTTTCATATTAAAAGAACTTTAAATTGATAAAAGCATATGAATAAAGGCTTTACAAGAAAATTACTTTTGTTCGACAAAGACATTAAATCTAAACTGCTGTAAATACAAAATTATTTGTCTTGTAAACTGTGTCTCAAACACAATATGGAAGTTTGGAGCACCAAAAAGTTATTTAAAGTACTAAAAAATATATATATATATGGGTCAAAACATGAGACCATGTCCCTTATACTCTCCTTTTTCATCATAATATTAACATTTTTAATGCAAATTATTTCAGATGTTTGTTCATTGCTGTGTTGTAGGAGGATTGCTAAGCTGGAAATTTGAGCTCTTCATCTGTCACTCATATCTATGTTGCATAAAATGCAACACCCACAGAGCAGAAAGTATCTGGAGCAGGACCATTCGTCAGAGAAACACAACAACTTAATTAAGTCTTGCCAGCGTTTCTGCTTGCACTTTTATCTAATTTCACTCAGGTGTTTTAATGTCAGGCAAGTTGTTATGCAATGTGTCATCCCCTGGAGGAGATAAGTGTTTGGCTAGAAAATAATTCCTAAGAACATGCTCCCTCACAAACTGTCCCGCTTCCACAATCACTTTCTATTTTCCGGCACTTCACTTTGATAAGACAGCAGTTAATTTCAAGCTACGTTTGACACACAAAAATCATCAGAAAATGAGTACACTGGAGCCCCTATCTAATTAAGTGTAGCAAGTGCTGCAAAATAATGGGGAATTTATAGTAGATAGTATACAGACAATACATAAACCATAATATAAATCTCACTCTGGTTTGTGGTTCTTTCTTTTCATTAGTTCACTAATGAAACGTTCCTGACTGCATATCAACCATCCAAATGCATTCAAGAACACTTTGCATTAAGACTTACTGATTGGATGGAGAAGAGTTCAGTGAAATTGGGTTGAGAATCTCCGAGGAAGGAGCTGTTCCCATATGCATGGTGAGGAAAACTCTCCCCTTCCTCGCCACCTTTTGGACTAGACTGCAAAATGCCAATCTGGGAGGTCCGAACGTGGTAAGGGAAGTTCTTGTTGGCTGCTGATGGTCTCGTAATAACCTAAGAATAATTAAGAAAAAAAAGATTTAAAAAAAATAAATAAATAAAAAAAGATTATCAACCTTTTTTTGTACTGAGCTTTAAGTAAAGAAATGAGGGGTATGGGGTCAAGATGGAGGGCTTGTGAGAGAACGGTAGAGCCCATTAGGGAAGAACAATGCAGTAAAGGTTAAAAAGAGATTAATAATGACATGGGGAGGAGACAGCCCCAACCTATGCAGTAAGAACTCATGGACTGTCATTTATGTATGAGAGACGGTGGCAATAATGACTCTTGAGCAATGTAAAGTCTACAGAAAGGTGCAGGGGTCTGCATAAGCACGTGCTTGTGGTACATACAAGGAAGACGATGTGAGCGTAGAGGTGGATGCCCAGCTGAATGCCGTTCACGATCTTCTCCCGAGCCCACCGAGGAATCCCGAAGTTGGCGATCAGAGCCATCACAGGCACAGCGAAAAACCTGAAAGAAGCACAAAAAAAAAGCAGATTTGAGATAAGAGAGAGGATGGAGAGCATTAGAGTAACTGATGAGAGTACGGTTTGATGGCGGGAGACCGAGAGCTCTGGGAGTAAAAGATGTAAAGCACTAAGAGTGATAATGATGGAAGGAGAGAAGTGGATAATGAGGCAAGGGACAGTTGCTGCATTGAGGCAGAGATAATATTAGTCTTTGTAATCTATGCTCCATTTTTAGCCTCTCCTATTAGAAACCATGGTATAAAGACAGACATTTTAAATCAAGCATCAAGCAACAGTTTTATTCCCTTCCATTCTATTTTTTGCAAAAGTCTACGGAAATATCTTTTGTGAAGTAACAGGCACATATGTTAATTTATATATATTTCTTTTTATGTGATATAATGACACAAATGACTGCATAATTAAAGTAGTAAAGAAATTATACATACTTTGCCATTTTCTAAGCAAACATCTGAACAATGCAGGGTTTACATTTGTCAGAATAGATCATCAAATCTAATGCACTCAACTCCCATAAGATTAGGACTGAGAGGAGGAATTGATGAATAGTTTTTAATTGATTGCAGAACTAAGTTAGTAACTGAATATTCACTGAGTATAAACATTTTAAAACATGCAGCATGCTAAAAGAACAACTAACCTATACCAGTAATTTAGCTAAAACTGCAACATACTGTATTTACAGTTTGCAAGACATTAAATAAGCTCTATAGAGAACACCACAATTCCCCAATTGTGGGACAATAAAGGGATTTTCTTTTCTTTTCTATTCTATTCTACTGGCATAGTTTTGGCTTCATCTTGTTCACATTCTGTAAACAAATCTCATACAAAGCACCTCTAGCTACCCAATCACTATTATATTACAAAAAAAAAGACAATGGATGGCTAATTGATTAGCAAAATTAAATGAATCTATTGCCAGAATAATTGTTAGTTGAAGTCCTAGATATGATGTTCCCCAGTTATTAAATAAAGGCCTTTTGTGTGTTAGTTATTTATGAAAGACTAAGGAACACAGAAATACATGCTTCTACAAAGAACAGACACTTAAGGATGTAAACCTGAACTTTTCAACAGTTCTCAATTTGTAAAAAAAAATATCAAACATGTATGTCCCTATCATTCCATTTCGCTATTATGCAATACTGTATGTTGGTCTGTTACATAAAAGCTCATTAAAACACAGTAACGTTTGTATTTGTAAGGCAACCAAATATAAAAAAAGTTTAAGGAACATGAATATTTTTCTAGGCAGTGAAGAAATATTCTGACACATGAAGTCTGTGCAGCTCATAAATATGGATATCCTCCAGCTACAAATCTCTCATTTGGGAATAATTATCTGCAACATAAAAAGAGCATGAAGTTGGGACTTCCTCACCTAAAGCACCCGCTATGTTCTTTAATTTTTGTTTCAACTGAGCTTCATAAATAATTTACATTTCCTAAGGAAATACATATGCTTCTCCCTTTGCAGTCCCCAACTCACATGTAACAGTCAGCAACAACTTGGAAAGCTGTCTTACCAAAGTGTGTATGTGGTAAAGAAAGGGACGTAGAAGGGCTGCTTCTCGGGATAATGTTTCAAGGAGACCAGCACGGCATAGCAGAACCACACATAGGCGACCAGCTGCAGGCTCATCAGACCGTAACCTGCAGGGCTGTCGTAGGCGTAGAGCACCTCACCTGGGTCAAAAAACTGGTACAGAAGCAAGGGAAATGTTTAACAAAAGCAGGACTTTAAAGCAGAGAACAGAAGGAGTACAGACTGTGTCCTATTTCCTAATGATAAATTGCTCATGAGTAAGCTGATCTGCTACGGTGACCGAGTCCACGCAGCTTGTTGAATTCTGAGCAACGGTTTGATAGCGACACTCCTCCACAAATAGGGCATCAGCATGTGTGCTCACAACTTTGTCTGGGTTTGTGGCATGTGTGCTTGTAGGCGAAGACAATAGATTGCATTTCACAAACGAGTGACTGGATATGGGCTCTGGCTATACACGGTTACTCTTGCTGCTACATAATGCATAGTACTGAGGGCTCAGTGTGGAGATGTTTGGGATGCAGTCAGCCAACCAGAACCTGGCAGATTTCTAACTGCAGTCACAGTATAGGGTGCAAACTTTCAAGTCTTCATTTCCGCTGCTCTTCTAACCTAGTTTTGCTTATTTTAGACAGTTCCCCAGAGTTTGAAGCTCTTAAATAGCTGGGCCTGTGCAAGAGGGCAGGAGGCTGATAAATCATTCCACTTCACAACAATGTATTAGAAAAGACGGCTGCATGCTTCCAAATCAAAAATAGCACAGATACTTCTACAGGCTTCTTCTCCTCTGGGGTCATTACCACCCTGAATTCAAAGGCTGTAATCCACTGTCTCTAAATGCGGCAGCGTTACATCTGACTGTGCAAAAGCCTCCGCACTGAGCAAAGATATATGTACCACTTTACCCTCCTCAGTGAATTATTAATTCATAGGATCATGTGCTGGTTTTTACACCAGATAGAGGAAGCAGAATGGTTCAAAAAGATTTAAGTTATTCAGTATGCTGATCAGAAAAATCCAACTTTCCAGAAAGGTTTGCACTGCAGAGCACGAATCTGGTATTTATCGCTGAAAGAGAATATGTATATATAGTGCAATTTAGTTTTAAGATACAGTAAAAGAAAGCAGGAAAAGCTTTCTTATTATTTTCAGGATTTCAAATCTTATAGCAAAACTAATTTTTATACATTTTTTACATGTTATGCATTTTTGTAATCAAGATGATGCATTATTATAATTAGTAAAATGTCAGAGTAATGAGTTCCTGACAGAAAAAGCCATTACAGCCCACGCTCATCTGTGGGGCACATTCTATCATAAATATTTATGAGATGATTATGAAAAAAGCTAAATAGAGCCATAACATATGTACATATGCTTCACAGAGCCATCCGTGGTTTGAATTAACTGTATCAGCTCTGGCCTTGATGCTAAACTAAGAAACTATGAAGTCAGTTTCAAAGATATTTTGTGGAGAAGATAAACAAATTCCCACTGGATGTTAATACCAGTTGATATTCACATACATTGGAAGTATTTAGTTTTTTATACTATTGTAGCAAAGTTATTCGCTATTCAACGATTAATGAAAACCCACTGACTGATCTGAGCTGACTATTCTACATGCCTGTTGCAGACCATGAATTTAGAGTATTTAATATCCAACAACTATGGAAGAGGATTAGGGCAACTGAAAAAAAAAAAGTTAACTGATTTTTTTTTTTTTTTCAGTTTAACATGTGAAAAATCTCAGAATTCTGACTTTAATCTCAGAACTCTGACTTTAATCTCAGAATTCTGACTTTAATCTCAGAATTCTGACTTTTTTCTCAGAATTTTGACTTTTTTCTCAGAATTCTGACTTTAATCTCAAAATTCTGACTTTGATCTAAGAATTCTGACTTTTTTTATTGTCAGAATTCAGTCAGAATTCTGACAATAAAATTTTTATTAAAAATCTTTTCCCATGTTAAACTGAAATAAAATTTAAAAATTAGTTAACTATTTTTTTTTTCAGTGGCCCTCATCCTCTTCCGTAAACAGCTGATAATATTTTTTTTATTTTTTTTAAGATTTTGTTTTTATTAGGCAGTATGAATCTCACCATTTCTCTGGACTTGCTATTCCGTATCTTTAATTGTAAAATAAATAACTGCAGGGCAATGAAGTCTGAGTTTAATTCCTTGCAACATATTGTGATTTTGAGGAAATGCTGATCTAAATGTCAACAAGCTCAGTGTTGCTACTGTACAATGACATGTTTAGCAGGTCAATAAACACCATGATTATCATCTTAATTCAGTCTGTGTAAACACCTAAGCCAATTAACAGCTCTGCCTGTTTCTTTTAGTGTTTGTTGATGTATTTTTAATTGGGCCAAGATCTCAGAACAATTTCATTTTAACCAAATGACTGATTTATTGGGTCTTGTGAAATAAAAGAACTCCTCAATGGTGGAGATAGCAGAAGTAAGTATAAGCTGAGTTAGATTTGTTTTTCAGTCAGACCTCTGTCTTTTTAATGAATTTCTGTAGTATTTACATATAAGAAATTAGCCACAGTTTGTAAAATGAATTAAATGTATCATCTATGCCCAGTCAATTAGTTTAATACACTTTTTATGAATTACTTATGTGAAAGGTGTTTGAGCTTCTGAGTTAGATAAATCTTCATTAGTACCCAAAAACTCAGCATATTGAAGCATGAAATTAGGTCACATCAATTTAAAGTCAAAGCTGAGACATTGGAGTACAATTTACATAACCTGTGTGGTTTATATATTACTATCAGTTGTAATAGTACTGAGAATATTTTGGACATTCTTTGAGAATGTGAAAATGTTATTAGTCTAATAGATTTGCTACAGTAACAGAAGCCTTTAGAAGGAAATAACTTATATCAAATGATTTTACGGATTTACAGCTTTTGATAGAAATTATTAGAATTATTAGAAAATCAACAAAGAAATTCAAAAAACAATACTTCAATCATTAGAATTTTAGAAATGTACAAAAATAGTTTTACTAAAAAACAAAGCAAAGTAAAGAAGTAAACATTAACTTTAAAACATTTTATAATATCTGATTAAAAAGTCCAATTGTTTCTTGTTGCAACCTAAATATCTTTTTTTTTTTTTAGCATGTAAGAATTTTTAGTTTTATTTGTTTTGGCCATATCAGTTCTTCTCTCTCCAAAAGATTCAAATTGGATGTTTCTTAGAATGCATTAACAATCATTTAAGATCACAAATTATTTTTTGTTTGATTTTTCTGCATTCATTTTCACAGCTTTTTAAACCATACTATTTATATCATCAAAAGCTTATTCTCTTTAAAAGGCTCTTTACATTGGCCAGTAACATACCAATGTACCTAAATTATTGTTTTGGTTTGTTTAAAAAGCTTTTACATGGGTTTTCTGCATCAATAAAGGATGAATCAGAAAAAAAATGGTTTATTTAAAACATCTGCTGCATCTTTCCCAAGAGCAGTAATGTCCTTCTCAGCCTTTTCCTCAGAATTGTTTAATACTGGTTAAACAATTCTGGTAATACTGTTTTTAAATCACTGGTCAAAACCAGCATTATGCCTTGCTTTATATCAGAGCCATTTGCTGGAAGCGTGGCATTAGACCATATTTAATTTAACTTTAATTAACTTGTTAACTCTACTCCATAAAGTAGCCTGACATGACCTTTGCTTTCATTTGGAATTAAATTAATGAAGTGAATTTAATTAAACTGTGTCTGTGAAACCTAGATGCAGTAGAATCTATACTTTCCAGGGAGTTCTCTCCAGTGCTTCCCCTGCAGCCTTAAAATTGTTATGCTTGTGGAGATAAGCATTTCTGATTCACTCTGGTGGCTCTCTTGTTTTTGCCACATTGGAACAGAAACCAAAAACAATCACTCCCACTTATGCAGGAATGTATTCAATTATTAATGTGTTTGATTTTTATTCTAATGCATCAACGTTGAAGTTGTTGTGATAAACCTTTCTGGTTGTGTTTGTTCTCAGTGAGAAAACGTAAAAATTCAGACCAGCAGCAGTGAACTGAATACATTTAGAGTAACAGTCGCAGGACATGAATAAACAAGTAAGTGAGTTAATAAGATTTAATTATTGATTGATCTTTGTGAGAATAAACTTGTAGCCTTGCTGTTAACTGCAATGCTGCATGTGTGTTTAGAAACTGTAATGTTAATACTGTACCTCAGCTTCATAGATGAAGAGGATGATGTAGGTGATTGTGTAGACTGTCATGTAGATGCTGAGTTTAACAGAGCCACTGTGGCTGATCCTCGCCCTAGCACACACGGACAAACCAAGAAGGTCAGAGGTGAGTCATGTTCGGTGGAAGATGGAAATCCAAAACTCTCAGATGCATTATGAGGTGTACAAATGAAATAGATGAATGCAAGCACAAACAGAGAATATTATGTATTTAGTTTTTATGCTGAAGTAGAGAGCTTAACACATAAACTGAACCAAATGCAACACTGTATATAAGACAAAGGCAGCTCATAAACAGAGCAAAATAAAATAAATGTATGTTTAAAATATACGCCAAACCCTACCATACGCTAACCCTACCAGCAGGGAATTAAATATGGCAAGTTCAGTCTGCATCTGGTGGATATGGTATAAGGAATATCTTTTTTTATTTTAGATTACCGTATTTCTGAGGCAAAATTATGTTACAAAAAAAAACAATGATGAATACTAATTTCACTAAGTGTGCTCAGCTAAATCACTCTCTGAAGTCAGAGGTCAGTTCTGAGAATAAGTTCATGAGCTGAGAGCATAAATAAACAAATGCCACCAGAGCAGTTCTCTAGGGAAGAAATAGTTATAGTTAGGTAATAGTTAAATAAATGTGCAAATTTAGGATGTAATTAATTAAAATATAAGTCCAAGTATAGAATAATATTAACTTATTTAAGAGTATATAAAGTAAACCCTAAAAATCTGACAAATAAATTCAAGATCTTTGTAACATTCCCTTCCTTGAACAGCTGCCTTGATGTGAGGTGGTGGATATTCAGTGCTTCAATTATCCTAGATATGGTTTTGAGGAGCTTAAATGTCCCTAGTAGGATCTCCCAAACAGGTGCTGAGTGACAGTTCAGACAAAGAGCAGTTTAAAGAGCCTAAATGATGATTAGATAAAATTGAGGCAAGCAACTTCGCCCGGTACAGCGCAACCTCGCCCTGGAGCCAGGTTTAGGCTCATAGGTGAGCACCTGATAGTTGTGTTCCTCCTTGCAGGACCCAGCCCTTAGGAGTGACAAGAGACCATCCCTCAGTGGGTCCAACACCTGCAGGGGGAACCATGAGGGACCGGTGCTAAAAGGATTGGGCAGCAGTCAGAGGCGCAGGCTTTGACAACCAGATACAAGAACACCTAGGCTGGCTCTGGAACTAAGTCCTTGTGATAAGCTACATTCTCTTCTACTCTGGCATGGCTTGGTGGGAAAGGCAGAGCACAGGGGTAGGTCTACTTTCCTCTGCCCAACTCAGCCATCCCATATTGGAGTTCACCTTCAGAAAAGAGGGAGACCCCTGACTGGCAGTACAAAGTATCCAGTCTTTGACTGTGTCCTTGGTGGAGGCGCTTGATAACGTCACTCTCTGGAATTTCATCATTCTCCTTGGAAACCTCCTTCAAAACCCATGTTGGAAACGATAATGATACCTGGAGTGGCAGACCCCCAGCTCTGAACCTGAGAAGTGTTTCAATAGTGGACTTAAGATGAGGTGTACAAATGAAATAGTTCTAGAACTGAAAGTCACAAATTGTCCATAATGAAGACCATGTCCAAGCATAGGGATGTACATCAGTGACTTGGCACCAGGACACCCAACATCAGAGGTCCATGATCAACTTTGTCTTCATATCGTTTGACCTTCAGCTGTATGTCTTGGTTGATTGGTTGGTCGGGTGAGGAGTGGTTTAAGAGCAGTTTAATTACCGCCTAGTGGTGAGTTGTATACACTGGACAAGGCTAAATCCGATAGACTCAGGTGGGACATGCAAGAAGTAAGGGTCCGCAGGGAAAGGCTGTCTAAGCCCTCAAGGACATATTCAACTTGCCCCTATGGGAGACCTTTTCTCAATTTTGTCTGAGGCTGGGGTCATGGAGTCTGTGTGAACCATGATTTCTGTGTCTACTGTCGATGCGGGCGTAACCCCCAAACCAATTAGGGGTTCTGTGACTGGCATGCAGAGAAAGAGACTAAAGCATGCATACAATAGTGATATAACATCATCATCTTGTACCCTGATATATTCAGATATTGCAACATCACAATGTTGAATTAAGTGCTCTGTTTTAACACTATTCTCCTACTGTTAATCTGTATTCATCACACATATTTTAAGCTACCACAATGAGTCCTGGATAAAAGGCCATTTGTTTTAAGCTTGAAACTCTGGGTATGTATTAGGGCTGGGTAATTAATTGCATTTGGAATATAATTTAATACAATTTAAGAAAATTCAATTTTCAAATTGCAGAGGCACTTAATTTTGTTGAGGTTACATTTTACTCAGAATGTTTTCTTACTCGGGCTCTTTAGGTAGTGGTAAATTTAAAGTGGGTTTTCTGCCACAAAAAAGGAAAGAGAAACTTCCAGTTAGCATGCAGGTCTATGCTTGCAAGTAGAAATAAGCACGCTTCCTAAAACAAGATTCTGCAACAATTGATTCAGAAAAAAGTAAGCTTTCAAGGTAATGAAAAAAACAAAACCTATGGAGTGAAACATCTACGGGCTTGTGCTTAGTGCAAAGAAAAATCTAAATAAAATTGCAATGTTGGTTGAAAATAATCGCAATTTCTATTATTTTCCAGCCCTTGTATGTATGTTTGTGACTAGTAAAGATAAATAGAAGGAAAAAAAGAAAATTGGTAATTCTTAAGAAGGTCTTTGGCATGTTATTAAAATAATTTAAAACTATTTATGGTCACTTACTGTAAATGTGACAGCAAATTGTAACTGCTATACCTAGATGGCTGTAACTGGCTGCTAGGGACCTTTTTCATGTAATACGCCAAAATTATCTCTAGTTCAGAGTGAACAGAACAGTGACTCCTTACAAACAGACTGAAATTTATTTAAAAATCTATTGCTGTTAAAAAAATTAATTGCATTATTGTTCTGGTACTATATTTTATTTGGTTATGGGTTATAAGTAAACCTCACCTGTTTTAAAGGAATTGGGCAGAAAAAAATGTGTTGTGATAAAGTAGTGATGCAGCCTCACACCCAATTTGTGTAACAATATTCTGGGTACTTTGAAAAAAGATATGTGTTAAAGTACACTTGATCGTTTCAATAATAAAAGTAATAAAACTTAAGAACTCCCCAGAAGTAAACAGTTCAAAAGTAACTGAAAAATTTTTTAGGCAAAACAGAAAACGAATAAAGTGTACGCATATTGAAGAAGTCCTTACACAAATACATAAAACATTTGTTGCTTCCTTAAAAAGAACAAAAAAAGTTACTTAGAATATCACTTTTCGACTGAAAGTCTTGAAAAAAAATGCTTTGAGGAAAATGCTTTTTCGAAGAACTACATTGCTTTCTAGCAGCATGACCAGTGTATAATGTAATGAGTATAAACAGCAAATAATATAGATAGGTCGAACCTGGTATGGAGTATTCTACAGTTAAATTCTTTGGAACACAGTTTATGTATGTGTGAAGCATTAGCTCTAATATAAAAAAAAAAAGTAGTTTCCTGTAACGACAAGAATAGATCATTAGTTTCTCCAAAAATATTACTAAAACTCCTGTCCTCTCGTGAGGACAATACCTTAAAGTTTCATCTTATGAGCTAGATGCAAAATCCCACCCCTAAAATGGTCACATTTAATAAGGTAGAACAAGTAAAATGTTCCCTGCTTCCCACCTGGTGACAGTGAATCCTTTACCCAACAGTATGAGCATCAGAAGGAACACCAAGAAACTGATGGAGAACAATAATTTCCCTGGAGACAGACATATAAGTGGAGAGAGAAAAGACAGAGGAGGCAATTAAGTTGTAGTGTCCAAATCTTTGACATCACAGTGCAACAATAACCTCAGATGAGGATACACATGTTGTAGAAGCACACACACACACACAGTCATTCTTGGTCCTCCCTACACCCATTAAAACCATCTACAAGGTCTCTTCAAGCACACATACATCCATCATTGTCCACTCATCCGATCTGCTCAGACAGTGACTGATCTCACAGCGCAGGCTCCATGTCAGTCATTCAGCCAGTGACCGATACCGAAGGGGAGAAACTCACCGAGTATCTTCAGGCTGCCGTTGCCAACTCCATCCCTGGCATACAGGCCCCAATAGACACAATGGAACATTAGGCTGAGCACTGCCAAGAGGAAAAAGATGGAGAGTGGAAAGAGAATTGGAGAGTTTAAGAAAAAGGAGAGGTAAGCAGGCGGTGACGAAAAGGAGTGGAAGGAGGAGGGGATGTGGGATTAAAGCAGAGAGAAGGGAATAGAAATGGAGCAACAGAAGAAATAAGAGGAAGGAGTTGGAAGGAGGAGAAGGTGAGGTGAATTTAAGGGAGGCAAGGGAGAAGAGAAAGGGTTTGAAGAGGGGGCAGAAGAATAGAAAGTTAAAAGAAAGTAAGGAGTAGGATGAAGATAGCATGGGAGGGGAGGTGGGGGGATTAACATCAATAACAACATCCCTCACTGAACACATTGGTCCTGCACATCTGCTTGCAATGATGCCTATTCAGAAGCTCATCAGTGTGATAATATATGTGCTTCTGAAGAGCGGATTAAAGTATAAGGTGCTACATCAGTGGATGAAGCTCATTGTTATCCCAGGAGCATGTGTGTGTGTTTAAATGATGTAGGTGTGTATCTATTTAGGATAGAAACTCTTACCCTCCACACCTGCTGCTGTCATAAACATTTTGTAGGTTGTGTGAAGAAGCTGTCTCCCCTTCAGATTGTCTAGAGGGAGAAAGAAAAAAAACAGCAAGGAGATGATAGAGGTGTGGGTACGTGTGTGCATGGCAGGGCGACAGATAAAAAGGATGGAGATATGCTAACAGATGGCAAAGGAGAGGGAGAGGCGTAGAGAGAGGGAGAAAACAGGAGAACACAAAAGAACAAGGTAACAGGCCAGATAAATAGGGAAAGCCATGATTAGTATGCATCCATCCTGTGATGCACATCTCCAGATGAGGTCTGATAAGTCTCATCTCAGTTTCTCCAGCCTAATCTGAGAAGAAATATTTTAATGCATATTTAAGCAGCCTATTTTACTATCAAAACAATATGGTTGCTGGTGGGGAAACGTATCAGGGGAAGGAGGGAGGTAAACAACAGTTCAGAGCTGCTCTGTCAAACTAGACTTGAATTGTCCTTCCTATTAAAGTGTTCAATAGAGAAGTATGCCATCTAATATCAAACCACTGACTTAATCATTTTATTACATTTAAACATCTATTGCAGAAATATTTCCTTATACATAAATGGACTAAAAAGTCAGTATTAGACTAAAGTGAGTCAAAACTCTTTTTAGCATCAAACAACCTGTTGTCATTTATATATTATGTGGCTTAACAAAGACTCAAAGATTTCGCTATAAAACTTTTTTATTACCTTCTTTAATCAATCTGTGTAAGTTTGGGGAAAAGTTAAACTAGTGTTGTTTCTCCAGCTTTGTTTGTCAATGTCCAATTAACTATTGTTATAAAAATGGGCAGATTTGGCGGGGAACCAGGTTCCTAAAGTCATGTATATATTATCCCTTTTTCCAAAGATAACTTTGTATCAAAGTATAATAACTTAAGACAGTACACTCATCCCACCACTGAATTTATATACATGGAACCAAGTGTATTTTCTTCCAAATTTTAGAATTTTTAAATAAACAAACATATGGAGTGATAAATGGGATATCCAGGGGGTTGATTAGTTTTAGAGGTTTTAGGGGGATAGTGAAACATTCACAGCCATACGCAGCGACATCTCTGCTTGGTTTCAGGAAAAAAGGTGGAGCATGCTGTGAATTTTAACCCCAACCAAAATTTACAAAGTGAAATATATCGAGCACACAGAAGAAATAAATAGAAAAAGCAACTTTTCATCTGCAAGTTTGTTTGAACTCATATTCCCAGTGACTTGAGAGTATTTTATCTTTTCTTTTTTATGTAGAAAAATAAATACATTCAGTAAGCTTAAGGCCATTGCTGCATTAATGTTTACTCAACCATCCTTTCACTCTCCTTTCTCTAAAGAAATGTCTCCACCGTGACAAATGCTTAGACCTGAAAGAAGAATCTGCAAAGCTTCACCATTATTTTTTTCTGAGTGAACACGGGAAAGTACTCATTTCACATCAAGAAAACATGTAGGTTTGATAATAGAGCCGAGGCAAAGTCCATTTCATGATTGGAGAGAGCTTCAGGAGTTGAAGTAAGATGACTCAAAGAGAGAGAGAGATCATACTAAGTACAAAAGGTAGTACTTACATGCAAAGTAGCAGGAGATGAAGAACACTAATGTGAAGATGGCCAGGAAGGTGATGTCAGTCTCCAAGATTCCTGTGAACAAAAGTTGGGGAGTTAGCAGGAGATAAAAAGGAGTTTATGATCGGAAAAAAATCATTTTAAAGCAATCAGGGAGGGACAGGCAGCAGTGAGAACGTAGTAAAAGTTAGAATGATTGCCAAGATGTCATAATTTGAAAGAATAAGCCAGACAGAAGAAACAACAGAAAGAAGAAATACTGTAAATCAATAAGGATATTGGGTAAGTTTAAGAACTAACAGACAGTTACAGTAATAGCAGAGTGTGAAGGATTGTGGGCTGTAGGAATAATTCATTCAGAAGATACATTGGCATCTTCTTTTCATTCCTCCCTCTCAGTTCATCCATCATCATTAACTCAATCAGCCGTCCCTTCATTATTGCAATTTGTTCAGAGCAGTGTGCTTTATTGGCCATGCTAAGTGGTGCTGGCTTGTGCCATTGGCGATTCTTTCCATAATCCCTCTTGTTCTGTGTAATCACTCCTACCAAACTCATCTGCAGAGAAATGCTGTGTCCAGAAAGACTGGCCGTTGGTCAGCTTCATCTCATACTCCAACTGCAAGCCATCGCCCTGAGACAGAGGAGCAAGAAGAGGGAAGTTTTATTAAAAATATATATTCTCTTCCACCATTACAGGCCTTATGATCTTTGTACAAAATAGGATAAATGCTTTATGCTTGAGTGAAAAATTCTGCAGGTTGAGCTGGCAGCACTAGGTAATGATTTTTAGATTTATTTTAAACAGTCTCGGGGCACTTAGCTCTGTCACTATAATACTGGAAATAAATATTTATTAGAAATACTGGAGGAAAGAAGGCAGTGCTTTACTCTTTCCAAAGAATTCCCTCCACGATGCCTCAAATCACAAACCTCAGCAAATATTTGCACTATGAATCGCTTCAGATTGTAGAAAATACAAGAGTGGTTCTCACACATAGGAAGAAGGTCAGACAGAGGACATTTCTGGAGCAATTCGAGAAATTAAACCTTCGTCAGAAGCTACTGGTCATTTTCTACAATGATATTTAGTATGGCATATGTCAGTCCTTTACTGTATGGTTTGAGTCACTCACAAAACAGATCCAAACTGTAGAAAAGCACTCTGGGACCTCCACCAAGTATCTAATGTCCCCCAACATATTGTTACCTTAAATCAATACCTGTATCCCTTTAAATCTGCCAAATAATTCCTGGATCCAGATGCCGATTTGGATCATCACCAACATTTTATAATTTTTTGCCAGTCACAATAAGCACCATTAGTAAAATCTGTCCATAACCTTTTTTAGTTATTTTGAAAACAGACAAACCAACACTGTTGAAAACATAACCTTTTTTAAGGAGGTAACAACTAGTTAAGTCTGCAAATAGGATCTTGTACTGTTAATGTCAGGAAAAGGGCACCTAACATCTCTGCCGACTCCACATATCCTGCACACAAAGTTTTTTGGCTTTTAACTTCAGGTCAGCGCTGCAATGCTCTGCTTTGCACAGATTGTTCCTTTCCCCAGGTTGTCTCTCTGATGAGCGCAATGAACTCCCCACATCCGAGAGGTCAGCTCATACAGTAGAAAAAAAAGGTACTGCATCTACTTTAAACCACATATGTTCACAAACTAACAATCTCCCCTTTTCCCCCCTACATACAGTATTATAAGAATCCACATACATTGTCAAAGCTCAGGACAGAGGACCCAGTATTCAAGGCAAGACAGACAGTGGGATTACTCAAAAAGCGTTTATTACAAAAATGGATCTGCGGTAGCAGTGGCTAGGGCGAGAATCTGATAATCTGACAGAGGATGATTATGCACGTGAGTCACTAACCTGGTTTAACAGTTCACTCAAGCCCACAGAACGAGGTAAGATCCAGCCGGTGGGCTGTCAACAAAATGCAGTGAGAGTTCCAGACACTGCAGCCCCAGAGAACAAGCAGGAGAACAAACCCCGAGCAGACAAGTGAAGGCAGGATAATCCAGAGAGCATACTCAGGATTCAGAACCAGGAAATCAGAAGTCCAAAGAGGTTCCAGAGGTAAATCCAGGTCGGTGACAAAAAACACCACAGCTCTAAGTTCATAAAAAAGCAGAATTCAGCAGGAGTCTGAAAACAGGTCAGGCACACAGATCGGATAGGAACAGGCAGGCACAGTGGTTGAGAGGCAGACCAGGGAATCAGGAAGAATAAGGTAACGCTGAAACACTCTCACCACCGGCTCGAGAGAAATAATCTCGCACTGATGACTGGTGGCACGCAGCTTAAATAGAGGCAGTAGCAGGTGGATCAGATGTGCAGTAATGAGAAACCAGCCAGAGTTAGACAGGTGAATGAAATGAGTAATTAAGCCAGTCATCAGTGCCAAGATCATCACATAGATACAGTTTGTGAATTTTATCTCCAATGTAAGAATGTAACTGATGCTAATTATGCTAACTGATTCCATTCCAGACTAGAAAAACACTCAGAGAGTGCAGACCTCCACCAAGCAGCAAATGTTTCCTCATTTTGTGACCTTCATCTATTGCTAAAACTTGAATGTCTGGATCATGACTTTTGGAGTCCAATGCTGGAGCTGTCAGTAGTCACTGCTGTCACCCTCTGATTTAGGAGAGAACTGCTTTTTTCCTCCAGAAATCATTCACATAAATCTCACAATGTTAAACAATCCTTTAAAAAAAATCCTGTATACTGATTGTGATCTGGATCATCACAATGATCTGGTAAAAATTTCACATAAATCCATTCAGAACCTTTTAAGTTATCCTGTACACAGACACATGCAGACAAACTCTCCAAAATACGTAACCTCCTTGGTGGATGTAATAAACCCTAAGAACCTCAGTACGCTGAATAATACAGGCTAAAATGCTTAAAAAAGATAAAGATAGAACATCTTAAAATCAAATTCAGACATCACTCATAATTCTTATATAAACGAATAACTTGTTACACAAAATCTAATTAGCGATACAATGAACACAATGGGCCTCATTCAAGAACTCTTTGTACAAATAAATTTGTTCTTAAAGAGTTTGTATGAGTAGTCTAGGAGAAATGTCTCCTATCTCTAATATTCTCTCAGTTACAAATCAATTTTATGAGTGTTCCAGAGTACATGTAGGAGCCTTGCGCAATCAGTAAGCTGTTATCCAAACCCAGTTCTTCACTAAATGACCACATTTGTTTTACTTAGAAGTAATTTGGTTTTCCAAAATAACAGTAATCCAGAGACAGCTGTGATAATGGCTGAAAACTTTAATCGTGTAAAATTAACAGCTGCGCTACTTAAATCCACAAATTCATAAAAAGTCTAAAAGGCTTTTCAATACAGTAGCTCTAACATCTCTACTTCGACATTCCTAACTCATAAAAAGCAGCAGTTCCAGGAATTACCTAATTCTGATCACCGGTAAGACCAAGGAAGGTATAGTGCAGTATAGGAGGTTCAGGAAACACGCTCCTCTCCACATATAGCATTTGGTTTCTGGGCATTCACATGCCCTCTGACCTGTCTTGGATTCAGAACACCTCCCACCTGGTGAGAAGGCCCGATAATAGATTTTTTTTCTCAAAAATGTGCAAATGCCTGGATTCTACTCTGTTTACAAACTTTTATAGGGCCCCAATGGAACGCACCCTTTGTCTCATTATTGCAGTGTGATATTGGAGCTGCATGGCGAAGGAGAGGAAGGACTGAGAAAGGGTGGAGAGGACAGCAAAGGGGATTGTGGGACACTGTCTTTAGAATCTGGACTGGGTTTATGCTGCACAACTCTAGAAAAGGGCTAGACAATTTGCCTTAATCTTTGCACATAGCATTGCATTTGCCTTAAGAGTCCGTGTCTCAACATAGTGTCATTATGGTTACATGATAACAAAAAAAGAATGGTTTGGCTTGAGTCAAGTTGGTTTTCGGCCCTTCACACATAGGCGGATCTACTGGGGTGGCATAGGGTGGCAAATGCCACCCTAAATGACAGCCTTGCCACCCCTGCTGCCACCCCAGTTGGCGGTAGGGGTGGTGAGGCTTATAAATTATGGATAATTTGAGAATTACGACCGCTAATTTCTAATGTCGGACTGCAGTGAATGCAGCACGAGATGACGCGAGAGCGACTGAGACTGATTGTTTTGAAAACCGATTGGGGCAAAGCGAGGGAGCCAGGGTTGATGGGGAGAGGAGACACAGGGTGAAACAGGTAAAAACTGATTAACTATCTATCGAGAAATGAAATCATAATGAAAGCACAACGTTGCTAGCATAGCTGCAATGCTGATTTTGAGATGATAAAAATCAGGTTGCAAAACGTTATTTCTCTAACTATGATGTTAGTTAGGCCTGACGTCTCAGGCTCATAAAGACATATTTGCGGTCAACTATGACAGAAAAGAGACGATCAAGTTTGGTTGTACTCAAATCAAAACGCACAAAGGCATTGGATCTAAATAAATTTTTGAACCGTTTTGCTGAGCAACGTGGAAATCACTGCATTCAGCTGTTATAGGCATGTTAACTTTATGTTCTGCTCTCTGGTGAGCCTTTACAAAGCTGTTACATTTTGTTTTGGCACCTCAGAAAATCTGATATTTCCTTTAATAAAACCAAAAGTGTTAAAAGTTAAAAATGTGATACTGGTGTGAATCCTGCTTAATATGAAGCAGTGTTGTTGTTTCTTTTTTTGTATATATAGTATGAAACTATCCAGAAATGACCCGTTTGAACCTACTCACAAGCAAAATTTATTTTTTATGTTGCTTCTTTTCAGATTTGTGGAGATTTTGATGTAACATACAGAACCCACCTTTTTGTTGATTTGTTGATACAGCAGAATGGAGGACCAACTCTGCCATATTTAAAAATATATACAGAAATAAATGCCAATAAATAAATAAGCATACAATTAATTGCCACCAAAAATACAAACAACAAATAAATGTAAGTAGAAATTAAATTATACAGCTAGTCATAAAGGTATATAACTGTTTTTATTTCTTTGCCTTTTTAATATTTACCTTATTTATTTTTTTGTCATTTATTATCTTCAACTTAATTTTTTTTAAATTACTTATATCTTTAAGTATTTATTTATGTGCATGTTATCATATTTTTGTCTGTTTTATTCTTCCTTTGTATTTTTTTACCCTAGTTATTTCTTCGCCGCTATTTCTTTCTGCCTGCCCTTTTAACATTTCTGCCTGCCATTATAATATAATATCTAATTACATTTATTTGTTGATTGTATTTTTGGTGGCAATTAATTGTATGCTTATTTATTTATTGAGCATTTATTTATTTCTGTATTTATTTTTAAATATGGCAGAGTTGGTCCTCCATATACAGCTCTATCTACAGCATATTTATATGCATGAAATGTCCCTTTCATGTTGCCGTAAATGTATGTCAAGTTACTGAGGAACAAATGGGGTAAATGTGTGTTCAGAGTAAACATTACATAGATGTCCAGTACCTTGTTCGGGTGCCTTGACCCATTTATTTCTACTGTGTAGTTCTGCTCACTTTAGTCCAGCTCAGTCCATAGATCTCTGATCAGTAACTTTTTCTTTCTATCG